TTGATCCTTAGGATCCAAGAGACTCAAAAAAGTAGATAAAATGACTTAAATTTATTGAAAAATTCACAATTCACCATCCACCTGACAAAAACTTCAATACGGCTTATTTTAGAGAAATATATGCCATTTATAAAATAAATTTTTTTTCAGAAACTACAATTTTTTTTGCAGATATTCAAACGTTGCAAAACAGTAAATTGGGATTACCGCAGCAAGTTGCGTCTTGTGAACGAGAATTTGTTTCCCAGCACTTACCACGCTTGGTCCATGCGAATGGGGACCCCTTTTCGCTTAAAATTTTCCGAAACCATTGGAAAAATGGACGATCATGGTTTAATCGACCACTGGTGATTTTGCCAAACTTTTGACACTCAATAACCGTCAAAACTTTCAGGTACAAATCAGCATCATTTTATCACATTCCACGAAGCAATTCTGTGTTTCAAGAACGAAAAGCCCTCGCGTTAACTCTGACACACTTTCTGCCACCTTTGTTAACTCTAGTGCTCGGTTTAAGCACCTCGTTTGTGGTTTTCTTAATTGAAGTTTATGGGGGTGGTATTGGGCCGATTTTGGGCCCGTTTAATTGAGTTTCCAATCAAGCGCAAACCTATTTGTTTCTACTTGCAAAAAAATTTCACAAGTACAGGGGAGGAGAAAATTGACGAAAACGAAACCCAAACTGACGCATATGATGAATTACAAAGTGCCTTTGTTAAGAAATTAGCTGAAACACGAAAAAAAAACGAAAATTGGTTGAAAGAAAATTTCCGGTATTGGGACCAACTTGTCGTCGATAATCTCAACAATATTTTTATTCTACTAGCCTCCGAAAGCAACGGAATGATGGATTTTCAACACTTGTAAAAAATCAAGCTCGACTTCTTTTGCTTTAACTCTTTTTCCAGTTGTTGGTTTTTGGACAGTATTGGTGATTCGACTTCGGCCGATTTGCGTGAATTAAAATTTACAAAATCTGACACCAATGACGATGGGTTTATCAATGTCGATGAGTTTTTACTCCTGGTGTACCTCTACCACCCAGCTGACGAAATGGAAGGGTTGAGAGGAGTCGCGAAAATTTGCTACCAAATGGCCCAAAAAATCGCGCTCGTCGGAGACTTAACTGTAGGAGAGCAACTTCAATACGGCTTATTTTAGAGAAATAGCAGTAGCAGCACAATTAAATAAGAAAATAAAAAAAAATGAAAAATTAAAAAAATATAAAAAAGGTTCTGTAGAATATTTATTCTGAAAATTTGGTAAAACACGGTCGGTGTGGTTTAAATTTTTTTTTAAATATATGTCTTTGTATATGTTTCTTTTTTATAAAGCATTGTTCAGAAAATTCGCTTGTGCAACCCTAGAATTCCAAGAGACTCAAAAAGTGGAAAAAATGTCTTGAATTCATTAAAAAAAATGTAAACAAAACATGATTTTCTATCCACTTGACAAAAAATAAACTTCAATACGGCTTATTTTAAACAAAAAATATAAAAAAGGTTTTGTGAAATTTTTATTTTTATTTTGAAAAACTTGGTAAAACAAGTTCGGTCAGGTTTAAATTTTTTCGAATGTTTTTTTTTTTTTTAATAATTATTTTTGTATTATGTTAGTTTCTCATAATTATAAAGAACCGTTCAGGGAATTCGTTTATGCAAACCCCAGAAATGCAAGAGACTCAAAAAGCAGGTAATATGTCTTAAATTGTAAAAAATCACAATTCACCACAACTACGTTATTGGGTCATGTTTAAAATTTTTTAGAATTTCTGAATTCCAATTCATTTTTAATCAAAAAATTTTAGACATGGTATTCAACATACTCAAAAAGTGGATAAAAAATAAATAATTTATCTTGAACTCAATGTTAAAGAGTGCTTCTATCAACTAATTTCTGTAGATAATGTAAAAAAAAATACAATTTGCCAAAATGACAAAAAATTAACTTCAGTACGGCTTATTTTAGAAAAATAAAACAGTAACAGCACAAAAAAATAAAATAAAAAAAATTAAGCAAAAAGTTTTGTGAAATTTTTATTTTTATTTCGAAAAACTTGGTAAAACACGTTCGATCAAGTTTAAAATTTTTTGAATTTTTTTTTTAATATTCATTTTTGTATATGTTAGTTTTTTATATGTATAAAGAATCGTCCAAGGAATTCGCCTGTGCAAACTCCAGGAATCCAGAAGACTCAAAAAGTGGGTAAAATGTCTTAAATTGTTAAAAAATAACAATTCACCATTCACCTAACGGCTATAAAATTCAATAAGCCTTATTTTAGGGAAATGAAACTGTAGCTGCATAAAAAAATAAAAAAATAAATAAAAAACGTCCGCAGATTTTTTAATTCATTTTTGTAAAACGCGGAAAAATGTGTAAACTACGTTGTTGGGTCAAGTTTAAAGTTTTTAAAATTCACAATTTACCATCCATCTTAAAGGAAATTGAACTTCAATACAACTTATTTACGGAAATAAAACAATAGCAGCACAAAAAAATCAATAAAAAAATTAAAAGAAACAAAAAATAAAACAATTAAAAAAAAAGTTTTGTAGGATTTTTATATTTATTTCTGAAAACTTGGTAAAACGCGTTTGGTTAAGTTTAAAATTTTTTGAATATTTGATTTTTTTTTAATTTGTATTTATCTTTGTATGTTAGTTTCTTGTAAAGAATCGTCCAGGGTGCAAACCCTAGTAATTTAAGAGACTCAAAAAATGGCTAAAATGTCTTAAATTTATTAAAAAATTGTTAAAAATCACAATTCACCATTCACCTAACGTCCATAAAATTCAATACGACTTAGTTTGCAAAAATAAAACTGTGGCAACATAAAAAAAATAAAAAAATATCTATAGATTTTTATATTCACAATTTACCATTCACCTGGCAGACAATAAACTTTTATAAGGCTTATTTTAGGAAAATAAAAATTATATAAAAAAAGTGCTGTAGAATTTTTATTTTTATTGCGGAAAACTTAGCAAAACACGTACGATCAAGTTGAAATTTTTTGAATCTTAATTATTTTTTTTAATATATCTATTTTTGTATAATTATGTTAGTTTCTTATAAAGAATCGTCCAGGAAATTCGCTTGTGCAAATCCTAGGAATCCAAAAGACTCAAAAGTGGATAAAACGTCTTAAATTCATGATTTTTTTATTTATTATTTATTATTATTTTTTTATTTCATTAGAATTAGAATTAGAAAATTTTAAAAAATATACAAACGCAACTTAAATTTTTATTCACTCTCCAGTCGCAAAATCCTGAGTTTGCCTTGATCGGCGAGAATACAAGCCGCACTATTGCCCCCTCCGCAATACTTCGACGAGGAAAAAACGGTCAAAAGATGTCCTTTTTGCTGCAACTAAACCACAATTAAAAACCCCAACTGATGATTCCATTTACATAAAATCCCGCTTCTACGACTTCGTGAGCTCGAATCAAATGAGTGAAACCATTCGACGCGAGAAACCTCTCCAAAGCTTCAACACTAAAAATATGAGCAGTTCCTCTCTTACTATTCACCGCAAATCCCTCATTTGCTAGCAATTCCATTGCGATTTTATCGGTGACTGTTTTTGCCCGGATTGGGTCATTCCACATGAGTTCCCAAGCCAAAGAGCTTTGCTCTTGGGGCTCATTTAGTAACGAAGGGATATCATTTATTGCTGAAACAACAGGGCAAAGCCAAGGGGGCGGAATACCACCATGACAGCAAAAAACTCGACCATCGATAACAGCAGCAAGAGGCAAACAATCGAAAACATCGTTTATGGAATTGAAAATAAAAGCACCTAATTTTTCACCAAACTTCATTTTACATTCTCTGTGGAAAAAAAAGTGTTAAATCTGGTCAAATTTTCGGAAAATTTGCACTTTTCAAATGTCCATTGTTGTTGAACGCGTTTAATTTCGTGGTTGCCTCTTAATAAAAACACCTTTTTGGGGCTTTGTATCTTGTAGGAGAACAAATAAGCAATTATTTCGAAACTGAAGTATCCCCGATCGACATAATCTCCCAAAAACAGGAGATTGCAAGGGCACAAAGCGGGCCCAACGTGCCATAGAAGTCGCTCAAAGTTGAGAAGATCGGGGAAATTGCCGTGTAAATCCCCTAATTGTAAAAAAACTTACTTTTTCTTCAAGTTAAGAGCCCCTCGGGTCATACTGACCTAAAATGTAAACTGGTGACGGGATGTCAAGGAGTCTGCGTTCTTTGAGAAAAATTGCTTTGGCTTCGCTACAAACCGATGCTAGATTTTTGGCGATAACGGTAGAGTCGAGTGGGCCCCAATTGTAAGCCATTGATTCGATTTTAACATAACAGTTGCTTTTTTTGTTAAGGTCGAAGAGTTTTCGTAAAGATCGAAGAAGTTCGTTTGATTTTGAATTCTGATGGAACTTGTCGGTTGAGGTTTTTCGAGAAGTTTCGTTCACGGAGATGGGAAGTGTGCTCGTGTAGGAGGTCGCATCTGTGAAGAAGAACTAAATTTGGAAAAAAAAAATTAACTGAAACCTGGAATCTCGGTTCTAAAACTATAATTATAAAAACAAGAGGGATTTCAAGAACAACTTTTTTATGTTGTAAAAACTGTTTGGTTTTATTTTGCATAGACAATACTATGGTCATTATGAAATAAAAAACTCCAAAAAAATTTCTAAATTAAAAAATCAAAAAAAACTAGAAAAACAAAACCGAATTTCATTTTAACACATAATTTGCAAAATTTTTAGGATAAATTGCTATACAAAACTCAAAACCAAACCAATTTTTGGCAATTTCGTAGCCCAAAGATTGTTCTTTTTTAATTATTAATTTAAACAAAAATTGTTTAGTTCCATACTTTTTGCGTGCTCAATAAATAACATAAAAATTAAATTTTTGTCTTGTTTCCAAATTTTTTATAGGCATCTTTATAGAAAAATTAGATTTTTTTAAATTGTTGGTCTAAAAAAACTCAAATTCAAA